GTATCACTCCCACGCCACGTTGAGGCGCTAGACCGTATGGGAGGTCCGAGAGGCGTCGCTGAGGCGTGAGACGATAGTAGGCAGAATAAAATTCACTAGCAGCCCGCGTCGCTTCGCTCCGGGGAAGCTCTAGCTCCTACGGAGGGGTTTATAGTGCACTTCCTGCATGGGTTTTGCACTTGGTTTGTTATGAAAGTAAAGCGTGGACTCCACAGTGATAGGTTTGACACATACGATCGCCAAATGGTTGCAAATTTGCACGAACTGCGTGAGTACACAAATCGCCTAACTGCAAGACGTGCAAGACAGCGTGATGAAATCACGCACGATGTAGGTTTAGGAATGCGTTGAAAAGAGTAGAATTGGAGTGCTGGGAGGCGTTTAGAATTAATAAGTGGGAAGCAACGCATAAGAGGGACACATGCGGATAGTATAAGAGCATGTAATGAAAATTTGTGGAAGAGATTTGAAAATGTGAGATTTTTACGCACGATTATAGCCGAGTAGCATAAAAGTATTGAAGTATTAAAAACAACTCCGAGGAAAAATCTTGAACTCTTGCATACTTGCACTCACTCAATCACCTCACGAGATGCGGAGTTTCCATAATTCCATTTTTTTCTGTAATGTAGTTTCTAATCGTGGTTGAGAAAAGTGCATTGACCTGATGTTTAGCAAAGTCATTGTGAAACCTAGTGTCAGTTCTAGAATAAATTCTCTGCCATAGAACGTGATATCAATGTGAATTCTTAGACCCAATCCGAATAGACACGGGAATTGACTTTCGCTCGAAAGAATCGATTCCGCCTCTCACATTAGTCTTTAAGAAGCCTCTATCTCCACACTCTCGATTATGGTTCCCTCCAGTGTCATCGCTAGACTCCTTCCCTTGGTGCTGCTCGTCAACGCCGACCCTAGAAAATACACAGGGCTCACTGGTATCAACGGTGGTGTGACGATCGTTGCTGAATATGACAATCACAGTCTCAACTTGAACTACAAGTGTCAACAGGGTGGTGCTGGTGATACGTCTGGGAAGGTCGTTAAGAATAGACCTCTGAGAAGAGGCCAAGAACCCATCCTTCTTAACATAGAAGAGGAGGCGATTATCGAGCTCGTCCCCAGTGGGGGTTCGCCAAATGCGGCATTCGAGGACTTCAAACGTGAATGTGGAGGAAGTTTTGGCAAATGGTCACAAAAAGATGAGAATATAAGGATATTTGAGACAAGCGAGAAAGAGCTCATGATAGGGTTCTTAGGGAAGAACTTTTACCTTCTTAGAGGTAAGTTGTACGTAGTGAATTCGATCTGATTCGTGGATGCATGCCGACTCTTCGAGGCGTGTGCTAAAGCACTTACCCCCTGTGCTGATCTTCAGAGGTTGACATGAATAGTCAAACTCAGTTGTTCTACTGTTGCTTATAGATCTCTATATTATTAACGAGTGATGACTAATTAGCAGCCGTTTCATTTTCATCACGGGCGCGCGGCATCATAGATACTTGAAAATTTTTGGAGAATTGTCGTAGTTTCTGTACACTTCAACCTCAACAGTCCTTCAACACTGAATATGATAATTTTTGTCCAGTAATATGATTTTCAGGTGAAGCTCCTTATCCCGTTGGTAACTATCATTTGACGGACCACAAAGAGGTTAAGTTAGTTGGAAGGGACAAGCGATTCGAGATCGAGATTGACGGCGAGGTCATCCTTGCTCCTCTGGAGCCCGTAGCTATCACAAATCGAAATCATCGCCTCGTGAACGTTCTTGCTGTTGAATATGCCAGAAACAAGGATTCGCTTGTGAGTGTCGAGTGGGGTAAGTTTTTGAAGAAATACGGTAAGAAATTTTCCAACGGCGTAATTTCGGAAAACAGTTTTGAGGATTTTTATCATGCTGAAGATGGAACATTCAGTGTTCTGGTGAATAATGAGTTTGTCGAAATTGAAAAAGATGATGAGAAACGCCGTCGCTGAGACTAGTTTGCGTTTTGTTATGTGAAAAAAGATGTTCATGATAAGTGTTGTTGTTGTCGTTGTTGTGAGAGCTCACGAGTGGTTTGCGTTGGGGAGTTGCCGGGTATAAACGACTTGATCTTTCTCGGTATAGTGGTGAAGGGGAAAATACGTAGAGAATATTAATATTTAGTGTGGGAGAATATGGACATGTGTGGTAAAGGTGACGGTATGGAAATTTCGAGGAACTTTGAAAAATTTCCTCTTGCTCCTTACTCAATACTTCTATAGTTTTATAATCTAATGAGCTCAGCTGAGGTAAGCCAACGTATATCCCTCAAGCAATCTTATGATTCTTCTGCGTTTTTATTGATGTCTATGGGAGAAAATCCAGTTATGGAGAACCTTGAAAGGGTACGATGGCACTTGCATGGCCATATTCACTAAACCCCGCCCCCTTACAGACCGGGCTCAAAAGCATACTTATTTTCATCGCATATTCCGATCGATATTCTTATAAGCACCTCGAGTAGTAAATGAATCTTTAAGAAACTTACATTGGAGTTTCTCTCGTTTCACGTGATGTGGCGTAAAAATGCGTTACGCGTGGAATATGTTTTTTCACCAGCGTTTTCATATTTCAATTTTTCTCTCATGACAATTTTTCGATTTCAATTTAACTGAGGAAAATTGCGAGGATGTCTTAGCAGCTACCTGGAATAAGCTAAATGAATCGAAAATGAAATTACTGCTTTTACTGAGAACACTGGATGACTATATAAGTGAAATATACATTGTGTAGTTTCCTATCATTGGAATTTGTAGTAGGATTTATCGCAAGTGTTTATATTATCTTTACCTCATGTCATCGTCAGCAGTACAGTACAGCTCTAAACAGGATCAGGAACAAGGTAGTGTCATTAAGGTGATTGCTGCTGCGCCTTTTCGAAAAATATTTTGCGAGTTTTGAGATAATTTCATAGATTCATCATTGCATCGCTTAACTGAAATTATCCTGCAGTAATGCAGTTTAGGAAGAAGCTTATAACGTGATCGAAAAGTATCGTCAAGCCTTGCGCAAAAACGCGAAGTAACTTCTTAGTGATGACGGCGAACTGCAGAATGTCGTAGGGCGCGACTGTTATGAAGCGGTGTGGGAAAATATGTGCATGGTCAACTACATGTGTGGGTGATATTTGTGGAAATTTTGAGGAAAACTGACGAAATTTCCATTGGTTTTTGTGCATTTCTACGCGAATGAATACACAAAACTTCTATAATTGGTGAGGAAACTCGAATAAGCGAATACACATTCCAACACTGATTATAAGTTTTGCATCACTGTATGGATGTTGATCATTCTCGAGTATTACCGTAACACTCGGCGAATCCCATCTCAGCTACGAGCTAGAACTTCTAGTTGTAGACTACAATTCCTCCCATATTCACTACAACTTGTAGTGAATATGGGAGGAATTGTCGAGTA